GCTGATTATGATGAGAGTAAAAGATGGTGAGGTTGAAGAACCTTATTCCTCTCTTTTCAGCCTGAAATTTTGATGATATAAATTTGGAACCATTAGAACAATCCGTAGCCAGTAATAGGAAAAATATCTCAAACAGCTTTCTCTGTTACTCCCTATTGCAATTTATTTACTTTCTCATGCCTCCATTGACAATGGTCCCTGGTATATCTGATTTTGTTCATAACTCCTTTGAGCAGAGACTTATTGCCTTTATTTGCCTCGGAAGCACCCTGTACACTGCTGACACTATTACTTTTGTACTTTTACCAGTACCAATACATTCTATAGTAGCTTGGGATTATGTTGCAAAAGAGTTAGTTAAATAGCTTGATTTTGTCTTGTTCTGAAGGTAAAGTTTTGGTTGACTTCATCCAGAAATTAACAACCAAAAGTTTCACCAACGCTTCAGATCAGAAGTCTCAAACCTTACTCTGAACATCTAGGACTGTCCTTTAACTGTGGATTACTGAGTGGAAGCTTATGTTGGTGAAATATTTTTCTAAGCATCACCTGGAATTTGCAAGGGGTCATGAAATACAGCAGCAGAGATAGTGAGGAGAACGTGGCAGTTTTTCAGCGCTGATCTAATTTAGGAGTTTCAGCTGCTTTTAAGAACCTGCTAAATCTATTTGCGTGATGGATCGTATGATAAGTGTCTTTAAAGTCTGTATTTTCCTTTGTATAAGCTTTTGATGCTGTCTTAATGTATTTTTTCTTTAAAAGTGGGTTTTCTTTTAGATTATAGTAATTGTAAAAGACAAGAAGAATGGGCAGTCCTGCCATTTTTGTTAATCTGTTGGAAAATAAACAGACATGGTTTGGCTGTGTGTCCATTTTAGTTCATTTTCACAGCAATCAGGTGCATTGGCTTCCGTCCCTAGTTTATGTACCCCTGTCCCTTCCCAGGTGACTAGCTTGGCAGTCCTTAAATGCTGGCAAGACTTTTTTAATTCCAAATATCTTATTATTAATAATTGTATTATAGTGTTATCCAAAGGACCTTTCCAAAAGATCAAAGATAAGGTGGAGGGTTAAACATCTAGTTACAGTGTCCATAAAAGGGGGATATCATAAAAGGAAGTTTAAAGGGCCAGGGAGAAAAATAGTGTTGATACTAAGTGTTTCTTATAGGGTGAGGTGAGTAAGAGTGCCATGGAAGAAGGAAGATAAAGGACAGCAAAGTAAGGAGGTGTGAAGTGTGTAGGACAACAAGTTTCTCAAACATGATGAAATGGAAAGAGATGGAGCTCGCAGAGGGATTTAGGAGAGAAGTTGTATGCTCAAAATGACAGGACTGGAAAAAGATCTCATCAGGGTGTGGATCGAAGTGACTTGATTAAAGTGAGAGTGAAGAGAAGGGTGTAACAAGTGCTGCTGAGAGAGAATGCATATATTAGTGGCAATCAGAAAAAAAATATACTGGATTTCAGAGATACAGAGGATGAAGTGGCAAATTTGGAGACAGATAGTATGTGGCCAGGGAGGGAGTGGAGTCCAAAATAACTCTATAGACAGACTGGAGTGAGTAGGAGAGCATGGTGAATTGGTAGTATCAGAAAAAGTAAGATTGTTTTTTTGGCCATGTCACATTTAATATGATTACAAACCAAGTCAGGGACGGAAGTTGCAATGTGGCTGTGACTCACAGATGTGAAGTCTGTTGATTAAAACTAAGCAGGCTGGGTCAGGGCCTAAAGGTGGAGACTGCAGAACCGCCACAGGTTTTTGGAAAGGAGAAAAGGGTCCCTGCATAGTGAGAAGCACTAATAAAATACCAAAGGAGCATTAGGACAATACTGTGGCATCACAGGAGATTAAAATCTCCAGGAAGATGAAATTGTGGTATATAAATTGTGTCATAAGAAGTGTAGAGGATCCTGAGCTAGTCTAGATCTTGAAGTTTGACTGGCCATTGGGGTCACTGAGGATTCTGGTGGAATTTACATTAAATTAAGTTCTTAATTCTATAGCTGTGAAAGATTCTGGTGAACTCTAACACACTTCCTCTTCTCTCTGACAAGTGCTCGAGGGGAAGGCTTACAAGAAGAGTTACCCAGGATGAAGAGGATGGAAAAATCCCCCTGGGAAGATTGTTACACACCTAGATTTAATGAAACTGGGTTGGAACTCTTTATTGTTTACTTCTTAGCATAAACACTGATCCTTGTGGAAGACACCTTTCTGACCTTGCACCCACCCTGCTGAATCATTCCACCAGCTTATGATCTCCTTAACATAAGTGGGAGTAGGGTTATTCCCTAGGGGAAGACGGTCTAACTTGTTTCTCATTTATGTGTTTTTCATTTCTGAAGAGAAAAAGTAGAAGGCTTTTCTTTAAGAGGGTCTATGTGACAAGGAGAAACTGAGCTCACATGTATAGAATAATATATCCCTCAACTGGAGGGATCTGTCATGTTTTCCTTCTAGTAGCAGCAATTTCTGCCTTTCAGCAGCTGTAACCATAAAATTACAGCTGTAGTCAAAAGGCCAAGAGCAAAGCACTCATCTCATGATTCTGAGGGCACCTGGTCTTCAAATGTCAGTACCAAAACTGAGGACTATTGTATCAAAAGAAATAAATCAGTTTTTAATTGGAAAATTAATTTGCAATGATTCTGAAGTGTTTCAAGAGCCTTTTAACTCTTTAATGTTAGGTTTACAGTTTTTAACTGCTGCTGTGGTTCAAATGCTTGTCTGGAACTTGTGGTTAATCTTTTGTCCACAAATCCATGTCAACCAGGAAAAAAAAAAAAATCACTCATCAAGCACAGCTTTACCAGCATAAACTCTTTGTTTGGATGAAGCACTCCCAACAGAAGAGTGCTTTTGTTGACTTTGCTGATGTTGTTCAGAGAAGTTGTGTTGCCATGTCAGGGGAAAAAACTTTCACAGAACGTATGGTGCCTGTGTTAGTTACACTGATGCTGGTTCTGTAATCTGAACACTGTCTGAGGTTTGTGTTTAGTCCTGTCTTTATGCAGACCTTCCTGTCTGCCTCTCGATGAGTTACTTTACCATGCCTATGCCTTACCTTTAAGTTGAAGAAAATAATGCTTCCTTTATCCCTGCCGTTTTGTCTAATTAAATAGTTACTAGAGCTGCGTGTTCTATATGTGGTGGGTAGATCTTAATAATTACATTATCATTTCCTTTTCAAGATAGAGCTCAAAAGCCACCTGCAACAGGGATTCAGCCGGGCTTGTTTTAGATAGGAGCAATGCCTGCGAACAGATTGAGACTTGAGGTTGAGTCTTATAAAAGGCTCTATTTAAGCCTGAGATAATGAAACTTCATGTCTGTGGCCAGCTGTAGAAGTTATGTTGGTCCTTGGGTTATTATTTTCTTTTAAAGTAATGGTAGATGATGTAGTTGATGAGCACAGGGAAGACACTGTGGGTGGGATTCAACTCACTTAAGATGGGATTTCTACAATGTAGACATTGGCATCCAAGCTCCTTAGTCATCTTTCAGTCGGTGAGGAGAATTAGGCCCTTTTAGGACACAACTCATCTTCCCTATTCTAGATGCCTGCTTTAGGATGCTGATTTCTTTTTTGTCCCTAGTGATTATAAAGAGACTCTAGATGTCTAGCTCAGGTGTCAATGTCTACAACAGGTCAGGAGAGCTGTCCTGTGCGCCTGTAACTCTAGCTGATCACTGTGATATGAAGGAGCATTCCGACGGGGCCCTGCAAGAGGGAAAGTTAACAGAAAAAGACCTGTCTTTGGCCAAGCAGATGAGTATACATACTTGTATTCTGCAGCTCAAAGGGACTTGTGGAGAAAGAGGCACTGAGTAGGGAGAGCACCTCAAGGTAGGGTGAGAAGACAAATTAGAAGCAGTTCAGCGTCTCTTTCACCTTCTTAACCAGAAGAAAATGTTTTATGTCTCTCTGAATAAAGAAGAAAAGTTCCTGAAACCAAGCTTTATCTGATGGAAGTGGTTAGAACAGGTCTTAGTTCATTTATATCTTTCTGGTAGGTGGAAAACAACCTCATATAATAAATATTGTTGTTCTTAAGTAAATCTATAAGGTAATGAACTGTAACTCATTTTTTTACAAGCCTTTGGGTGCTTGCCCTAACCTGATGGGGGTGTTGGCTTTCTTGTAAGTGCTACCATGTGGGTGGAACAGCAGTGCTCAGCCTTTAATGGGAGAAATACTTCATTCTGCATGCTCTGTATCCTGCCAGCTCTGATGTGAGGCTGGCAATGAACTCAAGAACCTGGCCAGGTTGAGGCTGGGTAGGTTGAATGTTCAGTGAGTTTTGTGGGAGGGAGTGGCAGCTGCATTGCCTGCGCATTTGGTCCCAGCCTTGTTTGCAGGCGGTCTCAGGGGTAGTACCCACTGCTGCACCCCCATTCTTCCAAGTCTTTGCCCCAAAATCCAGAACTAAGAGAATATGAAGGGAGGTGTAAGATTTAGCCAAAACTCCTGTATTTAAAAGGGCTGGTATAGTACTTGGATTTGATATAAACTCTTTTGGTCATGTGCTATTAAGAGTGTCACATTTGCTCTGTGTTGTCCAATTCTCAGTTTCTGAGAAAAAAGTATATTGGTTAACATAAACAGCTCAATTTAGTTTTAGTACATGAATTATTGTAAGTAATAAGTATCAGGCAAACTAGTGTGTACAAATAGTACATATTGTATGAAAGTGTATTAATTTATACATTTAAAAATAAGATACTGTGAAAATGTATCAAAGTGTATTTGGATTATGAAGTACAGCAATCTCAGAGATGTGAATGAGTGTTTATACTGAACTGTAGGAAGGCTTGCATAATAGATGGACATTTCTGGCAAACAGTTGTGTTTCTGCTTGCAAGCTAACTGCTATTTCTAGCCTTAGTTTTTATTACTTCTTTAGTTTTTTAATTATATACAAGAAGTGGGTGCAATTTTGCATTAAAACCGAACATTCACAAATCTTCCTTCCTGTTCTACTTTTGCTACTTAGGACGGAGTAGTATCTCCTACTGATCTAGACCTTGTGATGTCTGATGGATTGGGAATGCGATACGCATTTATTGGACCTCTGGAAACCATGCATCTTAATGCAGAAGGTAGGTAATTTAAAATTATATGAATATGAAGGGAAGGCTTACATTGCACAAGACTCTGGAAATGTTACATAACAAACCAGGTTAGAATTGCTGCAACTATGACTTCTCTCTCTTTACTGTAATGATAAGAAAAGGAAAATTTATCTAAAACTTGAGGTCAGATGGAAGGAAATGGATATTGACTGTCCTATTGTAAGCAATCAGATGAAAGATGATAAGTCATTGAAACACTAGCTATGCCCTTCATTTTTTCCAAGATTTGTCCCAATGCTTTGCAAACATTGTCGTATCCATAGTTCAGGACTGTCTTGAGTGTCAGGAGAAGAAAATACTGAAAAAGTTCATCTGATAATCCAATGTAAACAGAAACTCACTTTCCATAGATGAGTGCCTGTCCCGTCCCGTCCCCCGAATTCATAGCAAAGGCTCAGTGTAAATATCGCTGGAGCTGGCTTGCTTTAAGCTGGCTTAGATCCTGGGTGAAGTAAAATTGCCTCTATCTGTAAAGTATTGTGCATACAAAGTTGACTTGACAAAGCAGTCAAGTAGAAGTTCGACACCTGTCTTGCATAATCAAGACAGATTTTTAGATGTTTTTGGAATAGTATACATGAATCCTAGCTAAATAAAAAGTTAATTGCATAAAATGAAATAAAAATTACAGATCAGGGTTACAAAGGTTTGAGCAATGAATTTAACAAAACATGAAAACTTCAAGAAGTGAAAATCAACTAAATACATTTTTAGCTCTTTATGTTATGGGCTGTGTCTTTATTCCAGTGTTCTACGAGTTTTTCAGTTTCTGGTCCCTGACATGGTAGGCCTCTGCTCCATTGCTGGATCTTTTAGGCACTGCTGCAATGCCTAATAATACAACAATAAAATAAAAATAAGAAACCAAGATCATAAAATATCAGTGCACAATTAGAAGTGTTATTTTATGTCTACTTATTGGTTAGTTACTTGGCAGAAACTTATGTCTCTTAAGGCTGACTAAGCCTTGACATGAATGTGGAATTGTGGATCCTCCACCAGAGTCTTTCAGCTTGTCAGTTTGGTTGTATATAAGTAAATTAAATGTCACAAAGTGTTTGCTTTTGTGCATTGTTAGGTAAACAACATCCATCCTCTAAATAGAGGCACCTTCGTAAAAGTTTCCCTCTTCTGATCTATTAATATCTGACAGTTTCCAGTCCTCTCCAGTGATTTTAGACTTACTCAATATCAACCATATACATTCTTTACATAGAACAGAACAGATGCACGTAGTACTAGCCTTAAGCACAGCAATGTACCTGGAGTTTTGCAGGCCAGGGTTGTCCAGTCCTGCCCCCACCACTCCACTAAGCTGCCATGCCATCCTCTGCAGGAAGATAATTAGTGCACTTGTGGACTGGGCCACTTACACAAAAGCACCTTGTCGGCTTGTTCAGTAACTTGGATCATGAGGAACATTGCTTCACTCCCAGTCTTGCAAATGCATTGTCTCTGAATCTAGAGCTGCTCCTGTTTCTGTGCTGGCAGGCTGACTCAGGCTGTTGCTCTCATCAGAGACAGTTTAAATCAAAATTGCTGATGTCAGGACACATATTGGCTTATGGTTATAGTTCCGTACCAGTGCCAACTTCTCTTTGGTTGCCCAGTATTGCTTCACATAATATGGAATAGTATGGGCCTCCTCTTGATTGCCCAGGACAGCCTGCTCTGATGCATTGTACTAATAGTGTCTGTTTTTCATCACTGGAGGAAGATGGAGGTAGAGATAAGAAACCCTCTCTATCCTGTTTGTTAGCCTGTCTAGCAGCTTCACCAACTTCACAGCAGCTGCCTTTCTTTATAACCATAAGATACTAATTACCCACAATCTTAAACTCTGCTAATCAGTGCGGAAGGATGTTGAGGATGCAGGAAGCACGTGAGAGAAAAATAGTGTTATTTGTGGGAGATCCTGGAAGAAGAAGTAGTTGGGTTTTTTTGGTTTTGTTTTTTTTTTTTCCTTGTAAGGGTGATGTGACATTTTTGTTTGGTTTTGAATAAAGAATATTATTCCAACGATTTTTTTCTGAGATCGGTGTTATTTCTTTCCCTGTGGGATGCATACATCCAGATCCTCCCATGAACTTCCTAAGTGCTAATGCCAGGTTTCCCCTGTGTTAGTTCTTACGTCTTTTCCTCCATATTCATAAATGGTCCTATCAAAAGCTATTATCCAGGCCACTTCAGATTACCTGTTAATCCATGCATGGATATTAGGAATTTTGAATATATGGCAGTGAGCCAACAGCCTTGAACATGGAATAAAATGACTGTATCAAGTCACCAAAAGGAGCAGAAGCAGCAACAGCAATTTGAGAACTGCATTGCAACAGAGAGGAAGGAAACTCCTTTGGGGGGAAAAAACGCACATCCAAATCGCATAATGTTATAATATTGATTGTTGGTTTCAGTAAATAAAACTAATGTTGATTTCAGTTTCAGTAACCTCTGTCTTTTGAGTCTGTCATTTTATGATTTCATATGGCAGCATCGCAACAAATGCTGTTAAGTCTTTTACCAAGAAATCAATAGACTTCACTAAAGTCATTTTACCCGTTTACTTATTGTGGGATTATGTTAGCAGACACAGTGTCCCTCCTGTATATGTACCTGGCTATCTGTGAATATACGGAAGATGATTCAACCTCAGTACAATTGTATCTCCTGAATCTCTTGTTTCTTGAACTGACAGCTCCTTTTAAGCTCTTGCAAAAAAAAAAAAAATCATCTATAAAACCAGAGGCTAGACTATCGTATACTGTGTTTTACATGTTTGCAGCAAAAGTTCTTCATATATATTTCACAAGTGGCTCTTAGATCAGTTACTTTATTAGTGGGTTATTTAGTGAGCTATAATTGGAATTTAATCTTGATCTAAACTGCTAATATTAGCAGAAGAGCTGGATAGGGGGAGGTTGAAGGATCTTTGTTGCTACTTTCTCTCCTGCATTTATAAAACCACCATTCCAGGATCATATTCTACCTATCACTCACTCTGGTATTTGTACAGGTGTCTACAGGAGTTGTGTGGAAGTTGGGGCTGATGTATGGTTCCTGTAATATAAGTGCAAATATCTGGTAAGCTAGGAATGAGTCCTCATGGTCAAAATTGTGTTTCTCTTACTGGAAGTGGGAATGCTTGCTTGTCTTAGAAGCACCTGCCAGATGAATTGGTTTTGGATCATATACAGCACAATCATTCTGCTCCTGAAAAGCACAAAACATGAAAAGGAAAGGGGGGGGGAATCATAAGCCATAGTTCAAAGGAAGGAAATTTTTTTTTGTCTGGCTAGGCAAAACATAGCCAAGCATGTTTTTTAACAATTACTGTAGACAGGCATGCTGGCTGGTTCAAAAGCAGAGGTTATTTTCATTGCTGTGGCTGCTGCTTTAATGCTGCCATATAGGGAGCAAACCAAGCTTTAACACAGTTCAGGAGCTTTTGTACCACAAGCTAGTAAGTAGAAGGTGTGAGAATCTCTTAAGGTAGTAAAATCTAAGAAAACGAAGATTGGCTCCGTTTCTGTCCAACCCACTTGTTATGTTTTAGGATAATAAAATATCTCAACTTAATTCAGGAATACTTGTAAGAGGGTACTACTGAGGTGAAATATCACAGTGGTACATAATCATACAAAAACCTCTTCTTTCATGAACCCACCAGTTATTTCATACATGTTTACACACATTCAATTCACTTCCCAGTAGGCTGAAGAAAGCAGTTTATACTCCTTCTAGAACTGCTGTTTGCCTCTATGCAGCTGCAGGGTTTTTCTGTATGCAAAAGTTTGTGTGCAGCAAGTAAAGGTGTGAATTTTTCAGCATACCGGCTGCTGTGCACCAGTTTCCTTCTATGGACTCTTAGGTGTAAAGGGGTTCCCTCCACCTTCTGAAGGGAGCACATGACTTTGTACAGGAATGCTTTATTGCTCAAGTCATTATAGATGTGTCCTAAAGAACACATCTTGGTGCATCCTTCTCCCTTGTGCTAACGAAAGAATGTGTATGGTCACCAAGTGGCTCAGACTGAGGAATTCATCCCAGATTTGAAACTGATCTAACAAAAGTGGTTCATATTAATTTAGTTTAATTCCTTGATCCAGCTCACAGCAGTCCTGCACAAATATTTGTGCGTTGCCTTTGAGATGGTAACACAGGGACAGTGAGAATAAAACTTTTTTTGGTGCTACCACTGTCTTAGGGTAGTTGAAAGTATTCGTGCAACTACAGTCTAAGTGAATTTGTATGGGAATTAATGTAGAGTAGCAAGCGTCCTGTGAATTCACACCCTAACCAAGAGCATGCATCTGTGTTCAGATGCACCCTTGATGAAGACAGGATTGCATTTAGAAAGTTTTCCTTGGAGCTGTAGTGTCTAGAAATGTAATCCCTCTATCAGCAAAACAAAGTTGGGACTTTTTTTCTCTGAACATAATCTAACCATGACAGATTCCTCTATGATGTTCCTGAAATACGCCTTTTCTTTTCTGTTCTCATCCATACTCATCTTCAGTCTTACCGAGTGCAGCCTCTTCTTAGATTTTACCTGCTAAAATCAACTCCACCCCAATCTTTTCAAATTGTTGATGCTATTACATCAGTGGCTTGACCATTTCACCTACTCTTTTTGAGTCATTACAGTATCTTACTATGCTGCTCATCAGGTTCAAAGTCATCAAGTTAATACTTAGTATCATGAGGCACCCTCTGTTTTTGGCGTGTTCCCTGTCCTTGCCGGTAACACTTGCTCCTGTCTCTTGTTTTCTCTCACAAATATCTCAGTGCCTTCCTTGTTTTGCCCCATGTGTAGTGTCCTTGCCAGACTGGTTTACCAAGTTTGCTTGCTTGCATCCTTCAGCTCTCACGCCTGTTGTCTTTCTTATGAAGAGGAAGGGGTAAGACAGCATACAAGAAGCTAAGACACTTGAAGATGCTTACATACTATAATGCATGAACATACTACA